TGTCGACGTTCTGGTGGCTGACTGGTGACGTCACTGTGTGGATCTGTGGCGGATTAGGGTGTTGATCTTGAGGGTGCGCTGGTCCACGAAGTTGTTCCGGTGCTCCACTAGGATTCTGTGGCATTTGGGATGCAGGATCCTGCGAGGGATGCGACGTCTGATCACGGTGTGGTGGGATATGATGTACTCCTTGTTGCTGCACAGGATTGTGAATCACGGTTTGTTTTGCATCGTCTTGTTGAGCTGTAACCTGATATGTTGGACGATCGGGAGGTGCAAGGCCTTGACTTTGTGCGCCGTCGTATTGAATCATCCCGTGGTGGGGTCCACTCCAATATGGTGACTGCCCTGGAGAAACTTGATCTGGACGTTGCATATGTGTTAGAGGAGGATCTCGGCCAGCTCCTGGAACTCCTTGCTGTGCAGGCGGATGGTGGATCTGGTCGAGGCCGGCCGAGATCATGGGGCGGTATGCTCCTGGAGCCGCGTTAGGTAGCTGACCTTGAGGTTGTTGACGAGGTACATGAGCTCCGTCTGGTTGTTGGTGCTGAGACTGTGTCATAGTCTGATGTAGATGTTGCGGTCGATGATCTGGAAGTCGAGGTTGCGGATGTTGAGGAGGTCGTACATCTTGAGCTGGTGGAGGAGGAGGACGAGGGATATTGTGCGTTGGAGGGCTTGGTCTCTGAGCGCTTCCTGGTCCTGCATGATGAACATGCTGATTGACACCGACCTGGAACTGGTGGTGGTACTGCACTGGGTCTTGGGAATTGACGATTTATCCCCGGGCAATTCCTTGATGTGGTTGCCAGGGAATCTGGACTCCGTGTTGCCCTGAAGGATGACCTTGTTGAGGTGCCACGGTATAGTTCGGAGGTGGAGCATCTTGTCCTTGATGCACATGTTGAACTGTTCCCTGGAGTGCATCTGATGGGGCTCCAAGGGGTCCGGTGATCTGCCACGTGGGTTGGTGTGGTGTCACCGGAACTTGTTGTAGAACTCCATGCCCGTGAACTGGAGGTGGAGGTGGAGGTGGAGGAGGATGGTGCCACTGACGACCGTCCGATCCCGGTACCATTGGTGCTGCGTCGCTAGGCTCTGCAGCTATGTTGCACTGAATCAACATGCACGTAAAGATGGAAAAACCAAAAAGAATGTTACCAATCATGCCGGATGCTTGAGCACGTCGACCTAAACCGAATCTGAGTACATACGGCTCGCCGGCCGTCTTGTCAGGCATCGGGCGGTGTCCACATTAATGGACCCAGCATGTTACTAATCCACGAAAATGCGTATCCCTTTTCATTCTCGCTCGCCAGGCGAGATAAGTTTTGTGATTATCCTATGCGTCCGCACCGGAGTGGGGACTAACACAGGGAGCATTCACGCGTCGGAGCGAGGCTCCACCGACACCCGCAGCCCTAGGCACTGGGCGGGCTGGCTGTATAACACACTTTATGTTTTAGTGTTTGGCATGATCTGGTTGCTGGTGATGCTCCGAAGATAGAGATGCTCAATCAAGCCACCAAGGAACGCGTCAACAAAGAGGGCAAAGAACATCACGAATGGAGTTTTATGTGATTACTTATAGATGAAAACCTCGTGCTCATATGCGAATCACGCTCAGTCATGACATGCCACAATGCTCATATGTCGGCTCCACACATGTTCATGTCATGCATTCCTGCTTCACCACATGCCACAATGCTCACATGTCAGCTCTGCACATGTTCAGCGTCTGCAAGGAGTGTCATGCATTCATGCTTCACCACATGCTCCGAACCTTCTTGTTGTCATCGTTCATGTCCATGAATGCTCCATCAACATGCTCAGCGTGCTCACACAATTCAGCTCAGCTGCTATGCTACTCACAATGCACTCACCGACAGCCTTTCAATGCACTGAAGCTTGATATCATGCGTGATCACGGCTCAAAGAATGCACCCCATGCTCGAATACCAAATGTTCAAAACGAAAATCACGTTCTCGTAGAAGTAGTTGAAGCAACAGCGATGATGCACCATACACAGCTTGCGTTACAGGACGTCTATAACCATCACTGCAGGTACGTGGAGATGGCGTCCCATCTCCATATCACTGTGCACTGAGAGCGTCTTCGTTGGCAGGAGACTCTCAGGCACACTCCTGCCCCCTGCTGAAAAGGACATGTAGAATATCTCATGTTGGGCTGCAAAACTGTTCTTGTTTTCCATCCTGTTTGCAGTGCTTGGTGACGATCCCGCATGTACAGCGGTTTGCCAGCCACACACACACACACAACCCTGAAGACCAAACAGCGACGAAGAAAAACAGAACAAACGCAACGGGGACGGCGGAAATATTGGGCCACGAAAGAATCAAGATGCAGCTGGGCGTCCACAGCCCACGCAACAGCACAGACTGCTGAAGAGCATCTCGAAGAAGCCGGCTACCTATGCATTTCCAGCAGCAAACTTTGCATTTTGCCCTGGGCGCTCGCATTCCGCCTTAGTTGACCCTACCATATTTGCTCAAGTTCTGCCTTCCTCGGCTCCCAATGGCTCCCTCAACCCCGTACACAGCGAAACCGAAGCTGAAAGCTCCGAAACAATGCCAACAAAAGACACTCACCCTTACCAACAAGATGCATATGCCACTGTGTATGAGTGAGTATATATGGCACTATACATGTTTATCGTCTCATTTTTATGGATCAACGCACAAAAACTGTACCAGGGAACTAAAGTGGCTTAACCCTTCCGAAACCAGCTGTGGTGCCTTGAAGTCCTCTTCGACGCCTCAGGGCATGGTCGAGGTGTGTGCTTGGATTCTGCGCAGGTTTAGAACTTTGGGCTCTAGGATTTCGGGGTTCGGGGAGCCGGGAGTGTCTGTTTTGCGGAGCCTCTCTTGTCCTGTCAAATTAGGGCTTAAGATTATCGCTTGCAGGTCAGGGCTCAGTTGTTGCCCCACAGGGTCGCTCCCTCCGGGCGCAAGTGCTCAAACAGGTTTCCTTTCCGACCCAGCAACAATCACCAACAGTCCTGAAGCCTTAAGAAAGGCACAAGCGAACGCTGGTCGAGGTAGGATTCTCCCAGGATTCTTCCTGGTGCTTCGGCCAATAGGTGCAATGGCGGACCCTGCTGCTCTCCTTGGAGCGGCTGTGCGTGCTGCTGTTCTGGCAAAAGCCCCGCGGAGAACCGTCCAGGCTGTTGCCGCTACTGTGACTGCCGTGCTCACTCGGCAGGACACGGCGGTGGCGAGGCCGGAGACGGTGCCAACGGTGACTGCCAGAGTTCCGGGCCCTCCTTGTGCCTGTGAGACACAGGTCTTGATAGACCAGCTGCGCGAGGCTCGTCGGGCTAAGCGCCAGCGCAAACGCGCGCGGCGGCGGGAGAAAGCTATGGCTGCGGCTCCTCCTGCAACACCAATGGATGTGGAGACCATCACGGATGAGGCCGCGAATTCCACGACAGCTGATGGGACGATCACTGCTGGCCACGCTTCCTGGGCTGAATCTTTTCAGCACACCGGGTACTTGGTCGACAGTGGTGGGAAAATGGTGAAGGTGTCCGATCTCAGGTGCAACATTGCTGCGTCCGAGAAGCGCATGATGGATGACACCGTAGCGGCTGAGCATGGTATGCAAGAAGCTCCCTCTGGCAGGGGCTCTTCCATGCGCTCCGTTGGCGCTGTTGTTTCTGCGGGCTCTCCGCGACGAGACGCTGGCCCGATGGGGAAAGGGAAAGTGCAAGCAGGACTGAGCCAGCCCGGCTAGCAGCTTCGGTCCTTCATAATTCGTTTGTTCCATATGTTTGGCATGCTCCAAGGAGCATCCACATTTACTGGCAGGGTCTCTCTGCTGCACCTTACACGGGCTCACTGCAGCGCCACATTTCATGTGCAGGTTTTTACCTGTTTCACTTTACCGTTACAGACTACGGTCCGAACAGTCCTGAAGCCTTAAGACAATACCCCAAATACATTCGCAAGAGCACACCGACACAACTCCGACCCATCGAATTTAATTTCACAAAGCCGCACCCAAATTCTCAGCCTGCTCCTGGACATTTGGTCTTTCTTGAAATGAGAGTTGCATAACGCTTTTCTGGGGGCGCTGTAAAGGGCGTTGAATTTCTGGATTTGCCTGACAAAGGTCCTTTCTGGAGTTTGCCCGGTCTAAATAGGGTTGCATGCGGTTTTTGATTTAGGGCTTTAATTTTCAGGGGTCTACGGTTCTAGCGCGTAAGGTTTTCGGGTTGTAGTTGTGGGATCTAAGGCCTGCTCCTCGAGGCCCAGACAGCCCAGCATCTGATTCAAAATTTGTCTGTTGCCTTCCATAACTACCGGGCTTTCCAGTAAGACATCTGTCAAGCAACTGTCGGGTGCGGCTACGGGTTTAGGCAGGGTTGGGTTTGGGGTTTAGGTGCAGCGCTGACGGTTTACGGGTATGGAAGGTTCAATTTCACCAAGCACAAATCACGGAATTGGGATTATGGTCTCTGGCTTACGCGTGGCACATAATATATGCTCACTTGGGTGTTTCATATTTCATGACTTGTGCATATATATATATACACACATACAGATACATATCTATATACATATGTATGTATGTATGTATGTATGTATGTATGTATGTATGTATGTATGTATGTATGTATACATATCTACTTTAATATATACGTATATACATATATGTGCCTTGATAAGCGCAATAGGGGGTCAGGGGGGTTTCGGGGTACGTTTCAGTATAACATACCGGAAAACCCCTGGCAAGTGATTCTGCCTTCTCCAGCTTTTGGGCCAGCTCCTCGCGCTCAGCGTCGGCCTGCAGACGGAGGGATTGGTGCTCCTGACATGAAAAAATGCCGGAAAGTTTACAAATTCTAGCATAATGTAACCTCAAACCCAACTTAAATTATTAGGCCCTATACTAGAGAGCCCTAAAAAAACTCAAGCCTTGACCTGAGTGCAAGACTACAGCTTGCACTGTAAGCCGCTAAAGAAATGAACTCGACTGCTTACACGAGAATGCTGCCAGGTGCGCAGTAGTGGAAGCGTAAGCCCTTGCAACTTGAAGCAACAGCTTCGAAACGTCCGGAAGAAATCACTTGGCAATGTCTGCACGTGCTGTTGAAGTTGAAAGGGCATACAAACATTGGGGTTTAGGGCAATCTGTGTAATTCCGTGCGATGGCGTTTAATCCTATCGCCGTGGACAGCTGCAGTGCGTGAGGAGTGCCTGACTTTGAGACCCTGGATGTCACCTGCCACCGAGAAGGCGACTATCCCTGATGCCTGGAATTCGCGGAGTAGCTGCTTCTTCTCCCGAGCGCCTGGGGCTCTGAGTTTGTCTCGGCATAGGACGCGGTGATTCACCCTCACTCCATGGGTAGCGTCGTGGATCACCCTCTTCTTGCCGGTAGCCTCATCTTCCACGATAACCGCCAAGACAGCGATAGCCTGGTGCTCTCCGTAGCGGCGCTTGAACTCACCCAGGGTCATCTTCTCCATTAGCCCCTCCTCTACATCCTCGTCGAACTTAGTTCTGACAAAGTCGGCATGCTCTTTTTGCGAGGAGTAGTTCGGGACCCAGGCCTGTGACTCTTCCCAGGGTTCGTTCTCTAGCGCCCACTTCGACTGCTCCTCGCACACATGTGGTGTCCGCGGCAGCGGTTCCAGGATCCCCACAGGTAGCCCTTCTTCCGCACGAAGAAGAAACTCCCTATCGGGGTCCCCAGCTGCCTCCAGGAGGGCTCTTAGCAGCCGGAGGTACAAGGGTTGTCCCTCCGTGACCGTCAGTAGCTTCTCGTCTCGGATGCCCCTTTTCTCCAGCCAGGTACGCCACATCTGCCTCATGCAACTCCTTGTGTAGCATCCTTCCTCACCTCCCGTCGCCATGCGGAAGGTCCTCGGATCTCCCACGCCTCCTACCGTTCTCGGGCCTTCCGGCTCGTTGGTGACGTAGCTGAGGTCCTTCTTGGTAGGCACCTGTAGCCTCCCAGACGAAGTCGTAGGCGGAGCCGTAGCCGAACAGGTGCTCACCAAGATCTCTGCCAGCCAGCGGCATAGCATAGCTCTGTCCCCGAGGTAGCGATGCTCTGACGGTGCTGGGAGGGGCCCTTCGTAGCTCCCGTCATCTGCGAATGTCGGCCTACCCTCAAAAACAAAACTTGGTAGCGGGCCATTATACTTCAACAAAAGACGGGTGGGCTTAGGGAAGGGAACGCCAAAACTAGCTTGGTGAAAAGCCACGGTGCGCAGCCCCTTCTCCAGGGCGTGGTGTAGCTGCGGCCATTGCCACATGGATGCTGGCCGCTGACCACGGTGAGGTCCCTTCTTTAGCGCCCCCAAGTCCTCGCGCTGCTCGAAGGCAAGGAAGGTAGCTACACCTTGCGCCACAAGTAGCGCGACCTCCCCTGCAAAGTCTGCGAACAGCGTCCCCAGAATCGCTTTATCTCGCTCGACTGCTGTGAGCTTCTTGTAACCTCGCGGGAAGAGGGAGCTGCGCACTGGTCTGGGCCCTCTAAAGTTAGCCCACACAGCTCGTGAGAAGGAAGAGCACGGAGGTGACAGCAGCACCGCATCATACAGCCCGTCGCGTAGCTGTTGCAGGTAGAAGTTGCGCACCTTGGACGTAGCAAGGTCCACCCGTGCTTGCCTGGAGATATCCACACAGTGGACAGTAGCTTCGCAGCCGTGCTGCTGCGCCGCCCGCTTGATGCTGGCTGCCATATCGTCCTTTTGCGGTCTGCCAGCAAAAAGGTACAAAACTCGTAGCTTTCGGGCACCATGCGTATCCGCGGCCGCCGCCACGCTAGCGGCCCCCAGGGGGATTTGCCGGCCCCTGGTCCGGCACTTCTGCCGCTATAGCCCCTGGTCAGTTGGCCCCATGGGCCTCGCTAGCCTCACCACGTGTGTCCAGTGTTTGGCACTTGCCGTAGCAGTAGAAGCAGACATGGACGAAATGGCACTTGTCGCCCTTCTTGCAACCTGCCTTGGAATTGTAGCGATAGCATATCGGCTTGCCCTCCGGAGTGCGGTTGTGGTACTTAGCCGTCTTGCCCTCGCCCTTCTTCCCCTTCTTTCCCTTATCCTTGCCCTTGCCCTTGGGTGTCTTCTTCTTTAGCTCCTCGGTCTCCCAAGCGTTCGGCGAGCCTTCCGGGCGTTTAGCCCACAATGCCAGTGGCGTCGGGAAGTTTCTTTCCTTCACGGAGGGCTCTCGGTTGGCCTTAGCCAGGGCATCTCCAAAGGGGAGGCCCTTCGAAGCCATGAGCTTGTAGGCTTGCTTCCGGATGGCGTGCTCATAGTTCAGCACGAGAGTCCACGGCGGGATGTAGCCTCCCTGCTCTGCCCTCAGGCCGTAGCAGTAGTCCCCGAGGAGGTACTCCTTGTAGCGCTCGAAGACCGCCATGGTGACGTCGCCTAGCTCCGTCTGATTATAAGAGCGTGTTTTGTAGCACGGTGAGCCGTAGCCTGAGCTGCTCCGGCCCCGTAGGCATAGTCGTGGCGGAGCCACCCTTCTTGATGGATAGCGTGCCTTTTGCATCCCATGCCGGGATTAGCACCTCTGGGTCCACCTCATCTCGACTGATAACCTCTGTTAGCGGCTCGGCTCGAAACTCTCCGGTCTCTAGCTCATGCAGCTTCTTCTCAATGAACTCCTTCGCGGGGATGCGCTTGTCTTCTAGCTCCCCAAATTGAGCTGTGAAAGCATTCCTCATAGCGATGTAGTCCGATTGGGGAATCGGCTTGGCCCTCTCCCACACTTCGTGGGTAGCCTCGGCATCGACCTGGGTCTTGAGACGAGTCGTAGCCGCTTGCCAGGCCACCACAAGCTCGCGGCCTGCGCTCGTTGGGCTAGCCCAGCAGCAGGATCTATCCCGAAGCTATCCTTGATGACCGTCTTGAGGTCGTTGGCATCAGTAGCGAAAGCAGCAAACTGGGCAATGGTCTCTATCCCCCCGTCGAAGAGGGTGGTCGGAGACCTTGTGGGTGGTTAGCAAGAAACGCACTGAAGCACCCTTTGCCAGCTTCTCTGCTAGCGCTGCCATTGCTTGAGAGAGCCTCTCGAGACTTCACTAGCCGGATCCTCTTGAGTCACGCTGAGGCGCGACCGGATCTGTTTCGCTAGCACCCCGTCTCCCCCTCCCTCTCTTTCTCTCACTCTCTGTATCCGGACCCAATGGGTAGCGGCGGCTAGGACGGAAAGGGGGCCACCGAGCCCAACCCCCCCCCCCCAAACCTCCCCGGGACCTTTTGGGTTGCCGTTTGTTTTGGGGGAGCCTCCCAGAGAACGAGTCGCTCCCTTTTTAGCGTGCAGTCGGCCTCCTCTGGCTCATAGCCTCCAAAACAGAGCTAGCTAGCTCTAGCGGGAGGTTTCGATTCCGGGCTCCATCGGCTAGCTTCGTAGCCAGCCGACAGCTATCCTCGTAGCTGGTCAGAAAAATTTTAGCGCTCTAGCGGCGACCCCTTCGGCACCTATCGCACCGGTGTTCAGGGTGCCTATCAATGCAGAACCACATCCTGTGGGACACTAGCGCCGCACTCCGTGCAAATGATGATGCAGCGGAAAATAGCGCTTCTCCTATCCCATCTACCGACCCCCGGGATCACCTCGTTAGCGGCTAGCTGCGTCTCGGCTGATAGCCAGATGTCCCGCTGTAGCGCCCTGGAGATGGCATTAGCTCGGTCCGAGGTGGGGACTGGACCTAGCTGGGAAACCAGGTGGTAGTCCCTAGCCTCCACGTCCATGAAGTCCTCCAGCGCCATCAGCTGGTCTGAGCCACGCTGCTCGGAGTAGCCCGGGATCGAGCCCAACAACGGCCAAAGGGCTAGCTCGATGTGAGCTCCACCTGGGGCCCCATGTTCTGCAATGGGGTCCCCTCGGCCGTAGCACAGGCCGGCGGCGGCACCAGCAAGTCCACATTCCGCCCCAAAGCCCTGCCGTCCTGCAGGTCCCGCCCTGCTCATGTAGCTGCGACTGCGGGGTAGCCCTGGCGCAGTCGTCGTCCAATAGCAGGGACTCCCAAGTGGTGGTCCGGTAGGCTGAGTAGCGCGGCACCACCACGTCCTGCGGGTTGGGGACCGCGGATGTAGCAGGGTTCTGCGTTCCGGTCCTTAGCCATGCCTTGGCTCGTCCGGGAAGTCCTCCGGCTTGGGCGTTGGAGGCCCACAAGAAGAACCTTGGGCTAGCACTGCGCTGCTTGCCCGGCTTCAGCCACACGCTGCTTGCGATCTCGCTAGCTGGCCCTCCTGGGAAGGAAGCCGACTTGTCTCCCCCAAGGAGGAGCTTGTTCGGTGATCTTCCGCGCCGGCTAGCTGTGGGCCCCGCCTCTCGGTCCATAGCCGGCTTGCTCGTAGCGGAAGTGGAGGATGTAGTGGCCGGAATGGCTGTGGCGGTAGCCGACTGGGTGTCCGCTGTGCCAGCTACTCCGCCAGTAGCATCCACTCCTCCTCCCACGCATAGCTTTGGGCTCCTAGCAACTTCCACGGTCGAGGCCAGCGGCACCTCAAGCTCGTGGCAAGCTTGTAGCTCAGTAGCTGACACCGGGTTGCTCACCAGAGCCTTTAGCATCTCCACGACTTCCTTGACGGTGAGGTTAGCCGCCGACATAGCTGGCTAGTGCACAAATTGGGGCTTATCACAGGGCTTGGGGCCGCAAGAGCGCTGCGAGCAGCTCATGCTTCGTCCCCTGCCGGGGTTTCCTCCCACTTTCCCTAGCAGCACACCCGCATGCCACACGCTTCCTGCCGGACCCCGGAGGGTAGCGTGAGAGTGGGGCCACTGTGCCTAGCACCCCCCCCCGCCTTGGATCTCGGACCTTGTTATCCCCCCGAGCCTCGCCCGGGAATCGCAAAACCGACATGTGGAAGTAGCAGAACGCTCGCCCGAACCCCCTACCCCCCTACAATCCGGAAACCGCTTGGCCGCTTGTCACGATTAGCCGCAAGGATAGACATTCCAAAATCGACAGACGGGGTTTCGAGTTCAAGGGTCTCAAGTGTCAAGGGGCTTCGGGGCCTAGGCCTAGAGGCAGATCACTACTCAAGCCTCCAATGACACTCCCCAGTACATAGAGATGGAGGATCGCCCCAGATCCACAACCTAAACCTTAAGCAGCCGCAGCTGGACGATGAGCAATGACCCTAAACCCCTCAACCCTAAAAACCTTAAACCCGAAACCACTACATCGTGGACCCTCAAAGGCCTGGCCTTGAAAGCCCTCCCAACACCCCAAAGTGGCAAAGGCAGAACGCTGAAACCAACGCCTAAACCACAAGCAAGCCCTAAACCGAAACCCCAAAACCCCAAAGCCTTAAAGGTGGGTGAGGTGGCAGAGTGGGTCCTTGCCCAGAATGTGTGTTTGTGTGAGCATGTGTTAGGGCTTGTAGGGTTTCCGTGGTCCTCAAATGGGCCAGGGGCAGAGGATGCAGGGGCGGCCATCGATCTTCTTCGACGAAAAATCTTCAGGACCTAATCGGGGTCGCTAAGGGGAAGGTAAGGGGAACCAGGCCTACACCCAGAAGCCCTCAGCTCCACCCAAACCCCAAACACCTCAAGAGAGAAAAAAACCTGGACGGGGACCAACGGGCTAGGGGGGGTCCGGAAGAGGCTAGACCAGCCTAAGCTGGAGGAACCACCCGAGGAACACCCCACAAAACCCTCACACCCCAACCCAGTGACACACCTTTCCACGCTTGAGCCATGTTTCCGGTTGCAATGCTTTCATCTGCGGAACTCCGTTCTCGCCTGTGCTGAAGCAATGCTTACATATGCAGAACATCCTGCACACAAGGGCATGGTGCCCTTCTCCACTTCAGCCTTCTCAGAGGCTTCCCCTACAAAAGCTAACCCCTTGTAAACCCGAAAGATGCCTATGCCAATAAATCTGTAAACCTAAAACCCAAAAAACCCTAACCTAAAAACCCTAGCCTGACAACCCTCAAAACCCTCAACACCCTAGACCCTGAAAAACCGTAAGCCCTGAAGACCCGAAACTGGCCCTAAACCCTAAAAACCCTAGACCCTAAAAACCCAAAGCCCTACAAACACTAAAAACCCTAAACCCTGAAGACCCTAGCGGTCGGGTTTAGGGGTTTAGGGTTAAGGTTTAAGTGTGAAGGGTTAAGGGTTTAGGCTTAGGGTTTGGTTGACGGTTTTTGATGGCTAAATTCTCAACCCCTAACCCTGAACCCTACACCCCCAAACCCTGAACCCTAAACCCCATAAACCCGAAAGCCCACGACGTCCGTAGGCCGCGCCCAGGAGAGACATGGGCGGGTTTAGGGTTTAATTTTCGGGTTTAGGCGGTTTAGGGTTTAGGCTTAGGCTTAGGGTTTAGGGTCCGGTTCAGGTCTTGGGTAGCCAGTAGTAGTAGTAGTCGTCGTTATCGTCGTCGTCGTCGTCGTCGTAGTAGTAGTAGTAGTAGTCGTCGTCGTCGTCGTCGTAGTAGTCGTAGTAGTAGTCGTCGCTATCGTCGTCGTCGTCGTAGCAGTAGCAGTAGCAGTAGCAGTAGCAGTAGCAGTAGCAGTAGCAGTAGCAGTAGCAGTAGCAGTAGCAGTAGCAGTAGCAGTAGCAGTCAGCAGTCAGCAGTCGCAGTAGCAGTAGCAGTAGCAGTAGCAGTAGCAGTAGCAGTAGTAGCAGTAGCAGTAGCAGTAGCAGCAGTAGCAGTAGCAGTAGCAGTAGTAGCAGTAGTAGTAGTAGTAGTAGTAGTAGTAGTAGTAGTAGTAGAAGTAGTAGTAGTAGTAGTAGTAGTAGTAGTAGTAGTAGTAGTAGTCGTAGTAGTAGTAGTAGTAATAGTAGTAGCAGTACTAGTAGTACTAGTAGTACTAGTAGTACTAGTAGTACTAGTAGTACTAGTACTAGTCGTACTAGTCGTACTAGTCGTACTAGTCGTACTAGTAGTACTAGTAGTACTAGTAGTACTAGTAGTACTAGTAGTACTAGTAGTACTAGTACTAGTCGTACTAGTCGTACTTGTCTAGTACTAGTCTAGTACTAGTCGTACTAATCGTACTAGTCGTACTAGTCGTACTAGTGGTAGTAGTACTAGTACTCGTCGTACTAGTAGTAGTACTAGTAGTACTAGTAGTACTAGAAGTACTAGTAGTACTAGTAGTACTAGTAGTACTAGAAGTACTAGTAGTACTAGTAGTATTAGTAGTACTAGTAGTACTAGTAGTACTAGTAGTACTAGTAGTACTAGTAGTACTAGTAGTACTAGTAGTACTAGTAGTACTAGTAGTACTAGTAGTACTAGTAGTACTAGTAGTACTAGTAGTACTAGTAGTACTAGTAGTACTAGCACTAGTACTATTACTAGTACTAGTACGAGCAGTAGTATCAGTAGTATTAATGAAACACAGACAAAACTTAACGAGACCACCGGGCGTATTACACATGTCTATGTTCGTCTGCGGCTCCTACACTATATAAAGCTGGCTTGATTTAGTCGGGTTGGTTTACGAGTGCCCAGGCGAATTTCTGCTCGCATAGATACAAACCTGCATGCAAACAGACCCAGCTCCTAAACAAGGCAGGTTCTTCTGCGTGTGTGAAAAGGGGGCTCCTCTCTGCAACGAGCCAGTTCATCTTGCAAACAAGGAAGCCCAAAATGACCCAAAAATGACCTTCGGGGGGAAAGCCGATCCCTGTGGCACGCCTGCCGGGGACCTCGCCCCAAACCCTGGATGGAAGCTAACGCTCTAGGCAACTCCCCTCAAAGCCTCAGAGCCCAGCTTTCGTGGTTTAGTTTTATTCAAAAGCTGAATTGCGCTATGTGTTTTTTGTTTGCTGTGTCGATCCCTGTCGCCTCCCCGGCCCTGTTGCGGAGGCGGACCCCGCGTTAGCGGCTCAAAAATCAGAACAACGCAATGGGGTGCCAGGTCAAAACCGAAGATGATGTCGACCAAGATGTCAACAGCTGTAGCCTTCCGCTGAACGACGAATTCTGACACCATATTTCAGGCTGCAAGTGGCTGCAAGGACATCTGAGCTGCCGTCAAGTGGTCCGGGATGGATTTCAAAGGAGATTTGCCACGGAATGATGAGGACACTGCGCAGCGAGGCTTCATCACTCCACTCGGATAAGTTATGTCTTGCAATGTCATTCCGACTGCAATTCGAATCGGTCCGTATTTCTGGCCATCAAGAAACCAAAGGCATTCTAAATGAACTCTGTACGAAGAGGCACCTCTGGCACGTAACCCAAGGGACATACGGTGGACAACAGTATGACCCCACCCAGGCGACTCTCGAGGTTTCAAACCTGTTCTCAAGGGCCTGGCTAGCAACGGTGACACCAAACTCTTACACAGGAGTCCGTCTCAAGCCTTTTGCTTTAAGTCGGATCCTATGACAACTCATGTGTACAACTGTTCTCGAGTGCAGATCGGCTCCGACAGGACATCGAATACACACTTGGGTCCAAAAGAACTGTACTAGCGTAGAGTCGGAACAGATCGGAACAGCCAGACCAGATTCATCACAAAGTGCTTTGCACTGTTTCACCATACTGCATCGCTGGAATCAGCGATCAAAGACCTTGGTGCAGCAAGCATGGAGCACTATATTGCCGGAGTCTCGGGTCATGACCTCTTTGGGCTCTTTCGGGTTCGTGAAGTCCCAACCTGCAGGAAAGAGTTGGAACATGCTCAAAAGCATTCAGGAAAATCGTGGATAAATCCCGGCGCCTACTAGAGCTGGATTGAAGCTCTTCTGGCCCACGTTCTTGCTGCGCTCGCTGGCCCAGAAGGAGTGGTAACCTCGAGTCTCGAAGAGCTTGAAAGTGCGCAATGGCGCGCAGTTCAAAGCAAGAGAACTCCCAACATCTCCCAAAGCATCACAACGAGTCTAGAATGTTCTAAAATGTTCTGTGCCGGAGCTGTAGTTCTCCACCAGGTCGGCTTCCTTCTTGTGAGAAAGCATGATGACTGCCTCGGCAACACTCATGCATATCACTGACACGTTCACGCACACTAACGGCTCACAAGCGGCTCACTCGCGGCTCACTAGCAGACTAGCGTTTACATGCGCTTACACCCGAAGACTGAGGTACTCTGAGGTCTTGTCATGTCCTTCGTGCAACCTCTCCGAGCCTCTCCCCCAAGGCTGCGGCAGGCAGGATGTTGAGCGTCAGCTGGATGACGCAAAGCGCGACAAAGATGCTGAAAGTCCACAGCGCAGGCTGCCAGAAGGTGTCCAATCCCAACAAGAATTCTTTGAACTCACTGGAACCCTCTGCCCGTGCCACGCATTTGAGTCTTTCATGGTTTAATCAGAGACTTGTCTGATCTTGTCTGCATGTTGTCTACATGCCTTTGCTGGCTACGGTGCTTGTCACAGCGGCACCGCACCTGGAACTCATAGTATGCTTTCCAATCCTTGATGTAGCCCATCGACCACAGCACGACATTCAGCCAGGTAGAAGCCTTGGAGGAACTGGCAATTGCAAGTGTGCGTAAAAGCCAGAAAACGCATCTTGCGACATCTTGCAGCTTCAAGTCTTACGTCTTGTGACAATATTCCGTATGTGTTCGGGCACGGACCACATCTGCGAAGGTGCTGAAAGTCGTTCCGTAGACGGTGTACAAGAAAACCTGAGCAACACAGAGTCTGAGCGAAGTCCTACAGCTTAAAGAGGAAGTCACCAAGTCTGAACTCTTGGAAGCGGGCTCCGAACGAGAAGATTGTCAAGCAGACCATGAGTAGAACTGTTAGAAGTGGAGCCGCAATTTTTCGCCTCAATCCAACAGGGGACAGCACTCCTGGACGGGCTTGAAAGGCTTCACACGCTGCAAGGTTGTTCCCTCTGATCTAACATGGACTGAGGTCGATGCACAATTTGTGTCGCCGACAGGAGCTGCGGAAAGTGCAGCAGCAGATATTTCAACATCCTCAGCTTCCCGACTAATTGTTTGGGATTTTCCGCAAATTCATGTCTACATGCGGCTAAATCTCGCTAATTTATTTTCGTCGCACACCTAAAGAACAGAACATTTTCTGGCCAGGAGGGGAGGGTAGCCTTGAAACCTCAACCAAATGAAATAGCTGCTGATTCGATCTTGCTCGTTGCCTTCACCCCCCCGCGCACCGCCGCTTGCTGTGCCGGTGAAGGCCGAATTTCGGCGAATTAGCAGCCAAATTCGTTGCCAACCTGCCGTCTTGCTACAGAACAGGTCGCCCATGCCCCAACGACCCACATCCCAACACCCCCCCCCCCCCCATTTTTCGGGCCGCCCCACCCCACCCCACCCCCCACCCCCCACCACTACTTCGTCCGCCCCACCAGCGTTGGCGCAAATTAGGTGTCCCAACCCCCTGCCCTCCACCGCACCATCCCTCCACCACCCCACCATCCCCTCAACCCCCCCTCCCCCCCAACCCACCCCACCCTGGCTTTGCGGATCGGGGAACGGTAAGGTGCTTGTCAGGTTTAGCTCCTGTCATTTTTTCCGTCGTTGTATCGCTAATTGTCTTTATTTTGGGTTTCCGCCGCAATCATTTTGTCAGACATAACTACAACGAAGCACAATCTTGCTCTCTTGTGACAACGTGTTTGAACTCAAGACTCAGCCAAGGTTCAGCACGTTGAACAGGAAAAGCGTTACCACTATGATGACCTAATTTGGTCAAGCTCTCACGATCAGTCCTGCAGAGGGGCTTGAACTCAGAGGCATGTAAGCATCCTGAGAGGTGCACCAAACGACTACGATCCATTTTGATCCGTAGCCATAGATAGTCCTGGCTGCGGAAATTTGAGGAGCATCCGACAGCATGCGACATCCGTTTCGCTCGACATCACTCAATGTAAATAGTAATCAATGCGGACCAGGGGCATACAACTCCTCGTCCGTGGTCTGCCCGGCCTAGCAGACTCCAAGACATGGTGTGCAGTACATTAGATGCATACTATGCTCCCCTTCCTCCCCTTCCTCCCCTTCCCCTTCCTCTCCTTCCTCTCCTTCAAGCTTTCAACTCCCGCCTGCAAGAGATTGCCTGTGAAGACGTCTTGTACCACCATGAGGCCGGTGATGGCAAAGATCAGGGCAGGTAGCAACCTCTGCAAGCGATTGGCTGAGTAAAAACCCAATATGTCTAAGGCTCCACTCCCTTGTAAGGCCCTTCAAGAAAATCTCGGGTTGCGACAAGAAAAGGAACGTCCACACAGAACATTTTGTCCTGTCCTCAGTCAAACCCCACACTGTTGGCCATGGGCGAAGTCTAAAGGCGTTCTCACCTCCTCGAAGGTACAGGCTGCAGGACAGTGGAGAATCCTCCAAGCACTGCTGACGGCTACCACCCCATGCAGTTTCAAGACGCACGCGCTGTCCGAATCGCCGAATCGCCGTCCTTCTGATTTCCATAAACAGCAGAAGAAGCGCGAGCGCCGATACCAGAGCGAGGTAGACGTGATTCTCCGTACGTTCCTGCACGGCTTGAGATTTGTCTGCAGATCTGAATCTGAAAACTCTCCGGCTGCTCGCTTGCATCCCGTGACAGCTTCACTCTGCTCCGGATCGAGCTGGAAAACGTCTTTGTGGATCGTTGGAACCAAGCCTCCGCGCAGACCCTAGCAGGGACCCTAAGCGATAGAACAACGTGGCAACAACTGCGAACCTCCTGAAAGGCTGTTTTCAACGAGGAAGTGAAAGATGAAAATGGCGTTGGGGGTCGCCCTGTGGATCAAAGCAGGGAGCAGTCACGGTGCTGTAGGAGAGGCATGGACACGTTTTGCAGCACAAAGGCACAAGAAGAAAACACACAAACGTTGCAACGTTGAGCGACCCGTAGACTACGATCGTCAGCTGCTGCGCCGATCCCTGGAAGACGAAAGGCTCGCTGGGGCCTCGAGAACGAAAAACAGGAATGCCACAAAGGCCACGCTACGCCGCTACGCCCCTACGCCGCTACGCCCCTACGCTGACGGGGCTACCGCTTTGTAAAGCCTGCAGGCCGTGCTTGCCAATACGATCAGCCACCTAGAGCTGCAAGCGCAATCTGAGGTAACGACTGGCTGCAAACATCTCCAGAGATGCTAGGAATGCCTGTTCGTACAAGGGGGTAGAAGGCCGCGCACGCCGTGCAAGCTGATTTCCGAGACCTCCGTGCCATTGCTGACGTCAAGGTACGATCGCTCGCCCGCAAAGTAGGTTCCAATCTAGCAAGGCATCGCACAAAGAAGACGCCTGATGCTCCCATCAGCGAACTGACAAGACCTGCCTTGCCGTGCGCAAAGGAAAAGACCTGTGGATGAGTTAGCGATGCCAGGTATGCCTCAGCTCCCACAAACTTCCGAGCGATCGCAAGACCAACGTTTTACTGCTTTACCTTCCCGGATTCCCGCGTGGAATGCGTTCGCTGACAAGAGCAGAGTCGGCCGAACCATACCATTGGCTTTCGTGCTTTGTGGAAGCATTTGAATAGCGCGTCGGTATCTTATCATTAAGGACAGGTGACAGCGACATATTTGTCAGCTGGCCCCGTTCCTTTATTTATGCACTTTTGCCTTTGCAGGAATTTTCCAAAACGGGGGACCGTGGAATGCGTTGCGTTCGCATGGTTTCAGAAAACCCAAGCGAAATACAAAACACACATCTGCGTATCAGAGCGTCCAGAAGACTGGAGTCTGCTGAGTCTTTTTGTTGGGTTCCTGCCTCTCGGGCCATTGGGGCATAGTGCTCGTGCAGCACGTGCTACAGAGACGATAGAGCATACGAAACAAGGCAACCGCCCTGCAAGCAGCCGTGGAGAATGAGTTTATCGAAAATTCCCTCCACCAGATGCCGGAAAGGAACAATGAGCGGAGCGGCAGAAGTTGTGAAACCAGATGCGCTCGCTTCTTTCGTTCGGTGAATGAGACATGATAGCTACTAGCAGTGCGGACAAACAGACACACAGACACACACGTACACACAAGACACACACTGACATCGAGTCACAGCTCTCATCTGGGGGCTTGAGCAATCTTGAGCAGGGTTGACTTTGAAGTCAAGCAAGCAAAAACCCTGACAGGAGCCACGAACCCGAATGCAGAAAGCAGTCGCCTATAACGTAAATACAACGCAATATAAACGAAACGTCGGTGCGCGGGCGGAAAAGGACTTTTTTTTCGCGCGGTTCAATCGGATCATTGTGCATGAAGTTCCTTGTTCCAAAGTCTTGGGCTCCAGTCAAGCGACTGCAAAGACCCGACTTGCAGCCGTCCGTTCTTGCGTAGTCGAACCCACATCTAACCCACCCGCACCCCACCGACCCTCACCCCACCCACCCACATCCCACCCACCCACACCCACCCACCCACATTCACCCACCCACACCCACCCACCCACCCACATCCCACCCACCCACATCCCACCCACCCACATCCCACGCACCCACACCCCACCAGGTGCCACCACCACCACCAAGTACCACCACCACCGCCACCAGGTACCACCACCACCACCACCACCAGGTACCACCACCACCGCCACCAGGTACCACCACCACCGCATACCACCGCCACCAAGCACCACCACCGCTACCACCACCATACCACCACCACCACCACCACCACCAGTCCACCCACCCACACCCCACCCACCCACATCCCACCACGAACACGACCACCACCGCCATGGGACCACCACCATGGGACGCCAGGAAGCCACCGCCACCACCACCACGGACCACCACCACGGACCACCACCACGGGACCACCACCACGGCACCACCACGGCACCACCACGGCACCACCACCACCACCACCACCACGGGACCACCACCACGGGACCACCACCCACGGACCACCACCACGGACCACCACCACGGACCACCCGTGGAACGCCAGGTGGAACGCCGCAGGGACGCGTACCCTGTGGAGTTTCCCCTTAGATTCGGAACGCCGCGGAACGCCACGCGGAACGGGGAGTGGACCCCCAACTTTAAAGCGGGAACCCTTCTGCGGAGCATTCGGGAAAGAACAAAACGGTTGAGCGCGGTTAAGCACCTTCACCAAGACTGGAATGCGCCCGGCAAGAATTGACCGAAACACCAAAGCACTGGAATAAGATCGGCAAGCAGAAATCGAACCAGCAGGAACGGACCGGAAAAAACAAGACGCTTACATGTCATCTCGTCCTCCCTGAGCCCGTTTCATCGAACAAGGTTCGTCTGTAAAGGGAGGGGGACTGAGGGTGATGATAAGGGAGAAAGAGAACATCGTGATGCGGCCATGTCGGGCTGGAAGCAGCGCTACTGCATTTATTTTTTTGTTCGGCCTTTTTTTGTTAAATGCTTTCAAATTAGTCAATGCAATCGGGGCTGGGCCAGATCGCCGGGTAGTTATGATGTACTACGAGACCCATGAAGGCCAGACGAAAGCTGAGACATGCCAACAAGTTGTTCAATTGCTTGTTCAATCCGCTTTGCGATGGCTCTGCATTTAGTTGGAGGCCAAAGAACTCCCGCAACATTGATGTCGTAGATCGGCGTGCAGAGAGGCACCTGCAGCCCCAAAACAGAAAAACGAAGGACAACTTTCACGAGGGAGTTTGTGAATTGATGGATCGCTCCCTCTCCCTCTCCCTCCCCCTCTCCCCCCGCCTCTCCCGCTCCCGCTCCCTCTCCGGCCCCCTCCCAGGACTGTGACGGCCGTCTCTCTCGCTTGCTTGCTTGCTTGCTTGCTGGCAGGGCCACGTTACTCATGGGAGGGCGTCTTGTTGCCAGGGGCCATTGCCCATGGGATTTGTCGTGTTTTGGAGTTTCCGGATCGTGGGATTGCGAAATCAACAAGGTCTCTTCCTTCCTTCCTTCCTTCCTTCCGTCCTTCCGTCCTTCCTTCCGTCCTTCATTCCTGCGCACGTAACTGTCTGTATCTATCTCTCACTCTCAAACACACGATCTCCTTTCTTGCTTTCGTTCTTTCCTTTTCTTCGCGGGGCATGGGGCAGGGAGGTCCCCTACCCTGTGCGAGTTGTCCCGGCGTGCCGGGAATGGTCAGCGAGGTATAGAACCATAGGATTGCCGACGTTCGACACGATCAGTTGACCACATCAACTGGCATGCACCGACCTAGCCGGCTCCTCAAAACCCGACCCTACACTGCATTCTTCCCGTGGATCCCAGCTTGGCACAGCGTGAAACGCTCATTGTCTATGCACTTCTGCATACATGTTCCTATTCTTTTCCTTTCGCTCACTGTTTATCCATTGCTTTATTTCGGTCGTTGTTCACTCCTTGCTATCTAGGGCTGGATGGGGCCGGGTCTGTCTCCCTCTCCACCACCTCTTCATGTCAACCGTGAAGGTGACTGCACTCTGTCTGGCCGCATGCGCACACGCACGCACCTCGTGGCCGAGCTCCTGTCCTTTTCCAAGGATGTGCATAGAGCGTAGATTTGGACAGGACCTTGCGCGCAGCAAGCGGCGCCCCATTCGCAACAACTTTCCACAACTCTCCAAACCGAGGCTGCTGCCGAAACTGCTCCGGAATGCACGAGATGTCTGAGGGGGATGCTTTGCTTGTTGCTGACTTGTTGAGTCAAGGTGGAGTCACCGTCTGAGAACTGCGATATGCATCTGAATTCTGAAATGCTTTTGCCCAGCCTCCAGGGCTGACCGCCACTGGGTTGGGTATGGTAACAGTGGTACCTTCCAAGCTTTGCAAAGTCGGGCAACGGCAAAGCTTATCGAGGAATCAGCGGAATCAGCGAAAACAAATCTCGGGCAAAGGCTGGTCGCTGTCGTTGTCGAGGTGGCTTCTGATGCCTCAAAAAAGAACAAGCTTTGCCTATGCATTTCAGCAAACCAGCGGCAACCACACAAGCTATCTGCAAAAATTAGGTGAACTTGTGAACCGCCGGACGTGCGACCGTGAATGTGGATGTTGTTTGCGTTGTCGCTGAGACCTGCCATTGCCACACAAAGGAGTTTTATTACTCAAGTGTACTCAAGCAGGAGGCGGAATGCACACAAGACAACAACAAGCCTGTGCAAGTCAAACAGAACCAGCCAGCACGTTCCCAAATGTTGAGAACAAGCATTGAACTTCGCACAAGAAGCTGTGAAAGTTCTGGTTGACGACGTTTGCGTTGAGGTTGTCGCTGTAGCCTTTGAAGCGCAATTTCATCCCTAGCGAGACCGCCCTGTAAAACCTACAACACGTTGCCCGATGTCCATGGCAAAAAGTCTCCTGCGACATCCTGTGCGGACGTGCCCAGCTAGGATCTGGATAGCGGGTTTTCAGATGTCGGGGAGAAAGCGCTGACATGCCAGACAGGTGGCTGTGAAGGTTGTGCTTGATGATGTTTGCGTTGACGTTGTCGCTGAAACCTTTGCGCACAAACGTGTCCCTATTCAGGTCATTCCGCACAACCTACAGCAGCACTTGGTCCGACGTCCGTCGCAAAAGTGTCCGTTTTTCTCCCACCTCTACAGCAAGTGCATGTTGCAGGCCCTGGTGAGTTATCGACGGTTTCTTCATGTTTCTTCTGATTGGTCTTCTGCAACCTTGTCGGGTGAGGCGAACTCCGTCCACGGGCTGGCGATGGATGCACACGCAGAAATGGTCTCCTCCTGCTTTCCCCTCCTGTTCGTTTCGCCCCCGGTCCCAACCCTCGTCACGCCTCTTCTACTTTCACTGTCTCTAAAACCGCATGCGCGGTTTTCCCGGAGGCTCCTCTGTCAGCAATCCATGGCAATCCTATCTGCACACCATACTTATCCCCAAGCCCTGCCTCCTGTCTTGAGCACCAAGTGGTTCCGTTTCCATATGACAGGTGTCGTTGGGGGCTGCAAAAGGCTTAGCGAAAGCCGAAAGCCAGTCACCTGTACAAATCAGCAGCCTTAAGGTCAAAAGTCAGAACTGACAGGCCATTCCTGGCACAGTGCCCCAGCGAAGAAGGACACAAAGAATATGTCATGTGGCTCCAACCCGCATCGGACACAGTGAAGCTACTGTGAAGCTTGTGAATCCCACAGAGCCAGGGCCATCTTCAGGAGCAAAGAAGCAGCGCACACCAACACAACCGTACAAGCCCAGCAACCACAAGTAACATCCAGAGCAGGCTTGTAGCGATTGCAGCACGGCAACGAGAAGCAGAAGAGGCAAACCCAACACGAACTGGAGAAGCCCAAAAAAGGAGGCACCTGGCTCTAAGCAGGCAATACAACATTACTTGAGAGTCGGCATATGACGGTAAGCATCTTGAATCACCTTCTGCAAATAGCTATTGCTCAGCTATTGCTCAACTAATCAACAATGCCGTTGCATTTATCTGGTGCCCTGTCTCAACGGACATCAGCCAAGCGGCCGCCGTCGGGTCCGACGTCGCATTGCCTAGGCAAACAAACTCATACACAAGGCATTTGGCCGGGCTTGCTACGGCCAGAAGTGCTGCTAGAGCATCTGAAACTACGATGTACAACCCTTCGAATCGGCATGTGGGTTGGAGGGAGCGTTGGTTAGGAGCTACGCATAGGTTTGGGAGTCAAAACCGGAGTGCACGATTGCAAGTGCATGCTGCTGCATGCTGATCACGCGTCAGGCTGCTGTGACAGCCGCGTCCACGTATAACAGCTGCATGAGCGTCACTGCGCTTTGGTTTCGCCTCGGCCTTCGGCCAACTGGCGTCTGGAACAAGGAGAGGAAAGGTGGTCTCCTTCCCCCGTTCCCAACCCTTCCTTCCCACAACGCAAAAACCGCGTCTGGCCGCCTCCCCTCTCGCCTGTAGGAGCTGCCAAATTCGCTTGAAGGAGCTGAATTCCCCTTGGGGGCCCACCCTACCCCCTGGAATCTGTCTGAACTCCCACACTTCACACCTGCCTGGAACCTCCGGGCGGCCTACCCAAACAAACGCCCATGAACACTCCACATTCACTGTGCAACAAGCACACGAGCACATGCAACAAGCGCGCCGAAGGTTTTGCATGTCCTGCCTTTTCTGCTAATCAAGGCCAACAGGGGTTCCGGGATGCTCTAGCATGCCTATGCGTCCTCCAAGCGCGTTATACTCACTTCCTCGGGAGGTCCACGCATCAGCTGCTTTCCGACATCTTTCTCCTCGACCCGTGGTGGCTTTTCCTGTCTGCAGCCCGACCGTGCAGCCTGGAAACTCTGCGGCAAGCATTTACAATTACTGGGCAACGCGTTCTCACTATGCCGTCGACAACACCAAAGCCCCATTTGAGCTTCTACAATGCCAACATGCTCAAAAAAGTAGACACCTACAAGACACCGGTGCGCTTGCAGACAGGTTTCTTGAGTTTGAAGCATTCGAAGCCGCGGTTGCGTCACAGAACCTACCAGCAGCGAATTCACGGGGCTCGTCAGATCGCCAACGTGAAGCTCTGTGTCCCACATCTCCCTACATCTTGTCCATCTCTTAGGTCGCTGCGTGTATGTCGGAAAGAGAAGCGAGGTTCCGCCAGTAACCTGCACCGGTGCGAGTGATCACCAAGTCATGTGCTTGGAGTTCATGTCCCAACTGTCCCAAACCTAAGCCCTAACATGCCAACTCGCCCGTTCCTCCAAGTGGAGGGTTTGAGGGATTGGGCTCAGTGTTGAGGGATTTCGGAGCTTAGGCGCATGCCTGAACCTATGCACGCGACCAACCAGGATAATTGAGCCTCCTTCGCAACAAAACGCGTTGTGAGAGTCCTCCTTGGCAAGCTCTGCTAGCCAATGCTTGCATGGGTGCAAGAGTTTGGAAATCCCAGTCTCTTGCCAGCAGGCAGGATGCAAAATACACTCCTACCGCCATCTCACGAACAGACGCCAGGTATCGAAAGGTTGCGCGCCACACGACGTGCAGAGTATTCGTATAGGCAACTCTAGGCCAACATCGAATAGGGTTTCTGACGCTGATCACGAAGCAAGGTCCGGAAGTTCAAAAGCAATCTGTTCATGCTGCTAAAGCACTGAAGTCGTTCAGAAAGAATGCTGAGAACAAGCTTACTTGTAGAGACATGGTCGACATAAAGACTGAGATCCGCGCGGAACAATCAAAAGCGCAAAGTAATTCCGCGGAAACGAAAAGCAGTTGAAAGCACAAGTTTTTATTTCAGTCATTGCACCAACATCATAGCCTTGAATGTTTGATAGCCGGACGTGGGCACGAAGAAGAACTGAAAAGCATGCCCAAAGCCATTTCAAGATATGCAAACATGTAGGAATGATAAGCATAATTCGACTTCTACGTAAGCAAAACTGAATCAAGAACACAACCAAGCAAAGTATACGTACATTCGTCAGTCAGCGACTGGTCAGTTGTCCAAGCGCATCATTTTGGCATGCTTTGCCTATGAGCGAGCTGTACACACACACACACAAGGGGAACGAACGCAATCACGCCGTGCGGCAAGATGTCAATCTGCATAGAAGACGCCAGAGACCTCAGTAATTACCCGAAAGGCGATGGTTGGTGATGGCAGGCTTGTATGTTGGCCCTAGTTCCAAGGCTCCTGGCGCACCATCTAACAAGGTTCGCTGGACTGGCCCCGTGAGCCATTGCCAGTACCTGGACATTCATGATGGAAAATCCCCATACACGGGCACCTACCTCCTGCTGTTGCAGCCATGCTGTCATGCGGGAATTAACACAGCCAAGACCAGTAAAGGAGTATGAATCAGGTGCCTCTCTGAATCGGGGAATCAGGAACCGTTGGCGCACTGCTGCGCAGTCACAATGTCGTAAAACGTCGGCGACCTCGCCACTTAATCTCAGACAAGAAAACAAGGGAAAGCCCCAAAGGCGGTCACTCGATTTCGATCTGTTGACATCTTCGGGGTCCGTGCGTGGGAACAAAAGCAGACGAGTTGTCAAATTCCTCAGCAACGAGGCCGGAGCACCAACTTTGCTCTGCTTCACCCTCGTCACCCTAGTTCACAGGGATGTTCTCGTCATTCATAAGGCATCAAGAGACAGCCTGCGGTCATGTCGTGCAGTATCGTAGATGCATGTAGCCATGATGCTCGGCAATGTTCGTTTGTCGCATCTTCACATCGGGGCTACAGTCCAGAGGCCGCCACAAATTTCGGAAGCCCTCGTCTGTTCAAGCTCGCTTCAAGTCTATGTTTCTCCGATTGGCCCATTGGCTGTGACGGTTGGACGGCATTGATGCGCACTGGCCTGACACGTCGTGGGAACTGCCCTCAGCAGGGCTCCGGCCAACGCGGATTGCTTCTGCTACATTTAGCTGATTTGGCTGAGCTTGCACCAAAGAAACCCGATCTGCCTTACCAATGACTATGCTGTTCGACAAATGCTTGAAACGATGCTGAAGTTTGGGGGCAGTCTGCTGTTCGATTCAAATCAGTTGTTGCTTCTACGGATCAGGATTTCAGCTTTGGTGCTTAGTGTGGTTTGCACTGCGAGCTTCAAGTTAAG